GCCACATGCCTGCTGTGCACCCTCCCTGTGGTACAAAACTGCAACGTTCCCTATCTGGAATCTTTTTTAACTTTGCGAGGAAGTGGCACATGAACGGTGGCGAGGTCTAAATGTTTCTTGGTGATAATGACAAATATGTATATAGATCTTGAAGGATCTGGGGGATGTCATACCCTGGTGGGAAAGTGCCACAGTGTGTGCCTGCTCTTTGGCCCCATCTGCCTGTACATATGTGTCTGGAAGGGAACAGTGACACCATGGGCCTTGCTGCTGCCAAGGGCCTGACTTTAAGACTACCTTATCTTTCCCAAGATGGCGTCAATCTGCTCTGAAGGATAATACGTTAAGAGTGAAAAGACCAATATTCTATGTCAGATCCCGCTTCAGAAGGCAACGGATCCTCAGCCAAGGTTCAGAGAGCTTCAGGCCTCTAGGATAGTGCCGCACACTTGTTTTCCACCTTTATGATAGGAAAGGACAGGAGGAAATTCTGCCTTTATGATAAAGTCAGTCGGGAGGAGAGGGAAGAGAGAAGCTCGAGGCTGAGGCTAGCCATTGTTCTCCTTAGTTTTAGAGCTGTCATAGGTAAAAGACAAATGTCTGATTTTCAGTCGAGTCCTTCCGAACCAAAGAAAGGAGGCCACCAAAATTCTGTCCTTGGGTCTAAAATGCAAAAGGAAACTTGGCATTCAGAAGCAGGGCCCAGAGTCCAGGTTAATAACTTAAGGGGGTGTGTCTGCTGCCTGTTCTGTTAGTTCTGACAAAAGTCATTCTCTAAAAATGACCCTGTTTCTTGTAAGTAAAAAACAGCCAGAATGTAAAAGAAGTGTGTGCATATTATAGCAAACACAATAAATAGTCAATACTCTTGTCCAATATAGAAATACTCATCTTTATGATAGAAATCTCCTTTAGAATGAGATTGTTCTGTAAAACTCCTGGGAGAAGACACAAAGTGAAAACCAGTCAGTCATTTTATTTTTCATTGCTGTTAATGCCCATACGTCCTCAGGAACGAAAACCCCTATCCGAAGCCTACTCAAGCAGTGATACATTAAACAAATATTCTAGCTTTTATTTGGGCATGTGCATGCATATAGAGAAGGAAAGCATAGCAGAATGCATTTGATATGGATCTTATAATGTGCATAAAAATGTGGAGAGGAGATTTGCAGGAGTGATAGGCAGCCTATGTTCGTCCTTTGGCTTTATCATCCATTTTCTGTGGAACTTTAAACTGTTTAGCTTCTCTAAACTTAAGTCTTCTCACCTGAAAAATGGGAGAAACAGCACTGCATCATAGGATGGCTGGAAAGATAAAGAGGTGACCTACCACGGTATGTAGAAAAGTATAATTACTGGGACCAGCAGTTAGCGTAATGGCTGTGTCGCTGAACTCCCATGTAGTCGACAGTGGTTCATGTCCCAGACCCGGTGGCTTAAACTCACACCAAGGGCGTGTGCGTGCGTGCCCAAGATCCTGAGAGGAGAAAGGAGGAGAAGGGATTGTGGCATGGCCATCCCCCCTGGAGGGTGATTTCTCACTTTCTGTCTCTCTGTCTCTCTCTGTCTGTCTGGTGAGCACACATGCCCTATAGCAAAAATCTCTTCCAAAAAATAAATAATAATAAGTAAGTAAGAAAAGAAAAGCCCAATTACTTCTCCTTAATGTCCCTTAGTGATAGACAGTGCGGGCATACCTCTGTAGCCATGCTGGTGACAGTGGCAGTGTGAGCACTCTTTGTCTTGTTATAACAATGCATAATATCTTCTCACAGATCTCCACCTGTCTCACACTCTGGGGAACTGAGGCAGAATACTTCCTCAGCCCTTTCTTCTGTTAGAATGAGTGAATCTGACTCCAACAGCCAAGCTGGCCAATCACCATGACCTCCTTCCATTTCTCTTCCTCCTACTCTAGGCCCAGAAGTCTGGCTCAGGAGGGGACACTCAGGCTGCGGAAGACCTGCTGCTGCTCAGCAAACCTCTGACAGACCTCATTAGCCTACTCATTCCACTGGTAAGAGCTCACCTGCTTGTGTGTCTTTCAGAACATTGCTGAGGTTGAGGTAATTTCACTTGAATTTCATGAGTTTCTGTGTTATTTTCATTCTCTTCAAAACTGCAACTAAAAGAACTATAAGAAAATTGCCTGGAGGCCAGCCAGTGGCATGGTGGTTAAGGCAACTAGGCCAACAGTGCAGTTTGAGTCCCAGACCTGCTGACTTGAAAAATACACTGGGCTTAGGTGCGTGCCTACCCAATATCCCGAGAGGAGAATGAAGAAGGTTTGTGGCATGGCCATCTTTTTTGGAGAGTGACTTCTCACTTTCTCTTTCTCTGTCTCTGCCTTTCTTTCTCCAGTGAGCACATGTGTCTTTATTTAAAGGAAAACTTAAAAAAAAAAATCACTTAAAACTTAGAAAACTTAAATATGAATATATATATATATATATATATGCACAC